ACCAATTAGAAACATTTCAGTAGGCTTGGAACACTGTCAGGCTTGGTGAACTCTGGGGCTGGTATCGGGGCACCAATGTGACAGTGATCCTTGATGTTCCAGTTGCACTGTGGCTCAGTATGGTAGAGTCAGAGGCATCCTTGGTAATGGCTTCCACTTCCTGTAGACAGGTTTGGTAGCTGCAATCTGAATTGTACCAAATCCTTTTAGAAGACCATTTAATCAATGGGTTAGGCAGGCAGAGACATGAGATGCCAAGCAGCACAGGACAATGTGCAGACTGAATCAGCCCAAATCACAGCTATTCTGTGCAGGCCTGGTAGGTGACTTCAAGGGGAGCAGTCTTGAACTTTACAGGTCTGGAGAAGAGCGAAGAACCATTAATGGATTCTTTTGATGCAAGCTTGGTTTTTCATTGAACAGGAACTTAGTTGGCTTTAACAAAGTCTAGAGCCATAAGGTTGTCAGATATGCTGAGTCCACTCTTACTAACTGATGCACCTCAGCTAAGGTCAGTTGTGTGAGGTGGTGACCAGAGACTGCCATAGTCCTGGCAGAAAGAGGCATCATAAAGGTCTACAGGACACTGATACCTCAGGTCTCTGTTGCATGAATGTGAGATTTGGTGTACAGAAGATACACCCAGCAAATAAAGAAATGGCACCATTTCTGCCTATCTTACTTCATGTTAACTGGTATGAAAGTGTGCTGAATGTTGAGGTTTTGCAGTGTGTGGATATCATGAGTACTTAGGCATTAATTGAGCTGGGCATTTAGAACAGATGGATGATACATGAATGCTCAAGCAGCTCCTATACAATGAGCCACAAGTTGGCAAGAGAAAGCATGGCTACCCTAGGGAGTGATTTAAGGACACCCTTAAGTGGCATTTGGTGCCAGGCAACATACTAGCTGACCACTGGGAGGTTTTGCTTGCTGACAGGCACCAATGGGGGGCCTGGGCAAAGGTAGGTGTAGCACATTTTGTTCACTGATGATTTGCCAATGAGCAAGGAAAGCACAAAGTTTAAAAAGAACAGTAGCAGCAGCAAACTGCTTTATAGGGGCGCATAGAAATTTGAGATTTATGGAAAAGACTGCTTGTCATGTATTGGCCTTTGAATCACAGAATCATAGAAGTGGAAGGGGCCTTGAGGGTCATCTTGTCCAACTTCTTTCATGAATGTAGGAATGCTACTCCTAAATCATCCTTGGCCAATGCTTACCCAGGCTCTTTTGGAAAACTGCCAGTGAAAAAGATTCCACAACTTCCCTAGGCAATCTATTCCACTGCCTCACTGTTCTAGCAATCTTCTTGGTCTGTGGCACACCCACTGTGCCAGATTTACACCTCTGCTACCACCATGCTGCCAACTTTAACTATTAGTGTCACACAGCAGTCCCCACTCCATACCCTATTTCTGCAGGACATGCTTTGTCCCAAGCCTCAGGTATTCATAAGGGGAACAAATTTATAAATGTGCACCCTGACTAGAACACTATGGAAATCTGCTCCTTGAAAATTAGCTGTCACCTGGCTTTTTCAGAAATTATTTTTCACACCCTCGAGGTATAGTTGGCTCTTTTAGTTACAGCCCAAAGGAACCCTATAACTTGTCCTGTGCTTCTGGTATTTGATATGATGCACAGAGTCATCAGATCTCAACCTGTACTGATCTTAATATAAGCTCACTCAAACCAGTGCACAGTGTTTTTTGTCATGCTCCAGATCCCAGAATCATCTGATTCCATGAGAATCCAGCTTTGTATTTTAAAAACAAGTTAATGGAAAGATGTTTTTGCCTTCCCTAAAGACTCCATCACCCGAAGGCATATGACAAGGACCCAAATCTATTATTAAAAATCCTCATTATGTTTAATTCACGCATTATTTGGGGGCCTGTTCATGACTGGAAAGATTAGGACTGACAGTAACAAGAGCATTGTCTGCCAGGCCCTGTTATACCCATGGCTTATGTGCAAAGTATGGAGGAAGGTGATGAGAATTTGCTCCATTTTATGCCAAATAGGAGCAACCCCAGATTTCTCAGCAAGATACAGCTCTCTCCCCTCCTCTACAAGAAACCTGTTGAGAGAGGCTCATCCTCCACTTCTCTTCCCTTACCATCATCCTCTGAGTGTGAATACAAACTGTTTTATATGACCTTAAACAAGTTTAAAAATCCCACGAGCAGATGATACACAGCTCTAAAGTAGTGGATCCACATACAATCCATAGCAAATTTACCTTAGCAATCAGGGTTATCTATACTGATATAGAACTATTTTTATCTATGTCCCTCTTCTAATCGGGGTGATCGGTCAGACCCCATGCTGCTTTGTGGCCCACATGTAAGACAGTTGCTCTGGCCTCCCTTCTGACCGTAACTGCTCTGAGGCTGGAGCTCTGAAGTTGCCTGTGACTCAGCCCTTCATAAATCAGGCATGAAGGCACAACATCACCATTTTGTATTGGCCCCCTCTCTTTCCATTTCAGTACATTCAACTACTCAGCCAGCATACCAGGTGCTGCCCATGACTTAACCAACTGAATCTGTGAGGAGCTCTGCAACCCCATCATATAGTGAGGAAAGAAGCTGTTCAGCACAAAACACATTACAGTGCCATTGTGGTGCCGATGGCTGCCCACCTGCAGTAGCCAGTGGTGTAGGACCAGGGTCAAACACCAAAAATACCATTACAGAGGTAGGGGACACCAACCTTGCTCAGGCATCAGGTTAGCCATACATGCCTTCTGCAAGGAACTTTCCAGGGTCCTTGCCAGCACTGACCACTTCAAGCTGCATTTTGTCACCAACTATGGGTGAGACTGAATGCATGTATGTGAGCAGGTGAACGGAGGTCCAGGGCAAGGGCAGAAAGCTTCCCAGTGAAACCCAATCCCTCTGGGATGCAGGATGATGTGGCATTCCTCAGCAAAACAAAGACAGCTGGCATGAGACCGAGATTCCAGAGTTGCCATCTGACAACCAGTGCTACAGTGCTCCCCCCATCCCTCAGCCTGGGCTTGTAGAGGTGACAGACTTGCATGCATCCCAGGCACTGGAAGACTCCATAGCTCCAGAACTCACTACCCCAGTCTTCCCCCACCACAATGATCAGTCACTGGCAAAAACTTGATGTAACAGGGTCCTGCTCCAGGGGTGGCAGTGATGCCCCTGGAGCTCCTTCAGCTCTTGTCAACCTTGTCGCTCTCTTAGGGTAATCACCCCTTCTCCTCACCTGCCACACTTTGATGAAATGACATTTACAGAAAAAGCTAGGCTACCCCAGGGCTTTCCAAGTCAGATCTCATCATGAGTGCTATTGTTGCTGCTCATCGTCTTAAGGGCAATTATATGAGCTCCGTCCTCCCCAATACCCATGCCTCACTGTTCTCACTTGTTCCTCCCTCTCTCTGCTGTTCCTAACCCCCTCTCAGCTATAGCCCCCCTGGCCCTGCTGGCATGCACCCCTCCTGGGCACAAGCTCCTGGCCCCAGTCCTTGCCCGTCCTGGGCTACAGGCTCCCTTGGTCTCTGGCTGTGAAACCTGGTCTTTGGCTCTTGTCTCTAGGCCCTGGGCCCACTTTTAGGCCAGTTGAGACTCATAGGCTCCCCTGGCTCCGCCAGTCTCTGGCTATGGCCCTCCTTGGCCTTTATCTCTGGGTTCTGGTCCCACTCCTGGGCCAGTGAGACCTCCGGGCTCTCTACCTTGCTTACACTTGCCCCTCCTGGGCTCTGGCCTCAGTCCCAGCAACTGAGCCTCCCAGCTCAGACCTGCATTCTTGGGCCCACCTGGGGCTTGGGCCCTTTTACTGTGTCAGCACTTCCAACTCCACCCCTGCTGAGCTACAGGCTCTCGATCCTGCTTACTTGACCCCTCCTGGGTTCAAGCTCTCTCCCTCTTGGACCCCAGGCCCACTATTGCATGTTCCTAGGCCTCTTCACTCCCAGGCCTGTTGGGACCTCCTCCTCCCCTTGGGCCCTTCCTCAAACCTCCAGAGTTGCTTACCCCAGCTCAGATATTACCAAGCAACCCTGCTGGAGCCCTGGTACCCAGGAGCTCCTCTCTGTGGCTCACAGGGCTAGACTCCCTGACCAGCCTGGGCCCTGGGCTTATATGCTTTAAACCTGGCCCCGTTCTGGTCAGGTGACTTTCTAGCCCCTGCCACACCTGCAGGCTGCTTCACATCCCACCTGCCTTCTCTTAAAGTAGCAGGAGCACCAAGCCTCCTGCTACACCTGGGCAGTAAAATCTGAGAGACGTGTACTTACCATCACTAATGCTTCCACTGGGAAGATACACTGGCAAAGTCATCACAGGAATTTATGTGAATGTTAGGAGATCTTTCTGAAGCTAAAGTTAGAACAATGAAAGCTTGTTACATTCTATCCTTCCAAGCTGGACACCTGCAGCTACAAGGACCTCACACAGGTACAGTGCAGGGTGAGCATGAAGGGGAAGGTCAAAGAGCAAGCTGCTGGGATAGCAGGCCACTCACCCAAGAGGAGAGCTGTAGTGGTGGAGGAGTGATGCCCCATGGTGGAATTCCACCTGCTAAGGTAGGGCATTGCCCAGACCAAGTGGCCTGCTAAACATCAGTCTCAAAGGTCACTGAACGGATGAGGAAAGTCATGGTTGTAGAATCTTTTGGTGAACAGAGAGTAGATATTGCTGGGCCCCTTGACCCACCAGACTGAATGTATGTGGGAAGTACTCTGGCCTTCCCTCTCATCCCTGACATTTCCCTGCCAGCCTGTAGCATTTCTCCATTAAACCCCATAACGCCTGCAAGGATGCAGGAAGAATGTTCAGCTGTCAGATGTCTTCCTCATGACCTCATTTACTCGGGGCAGCAGCAAGCACTATGCATCACTTCCATCCCTCCTCAGGAGACAGAAATACTTCCAGAGAAGATCCCTTTTTACCCCTCAAACCTCCAGAGGTGGCATAGGGGTGGGCAGCAGCACTAAACTCTGAATACATCCAATTCCCTATTTGCCTGGCTCCCCCAGCCTTCCCAGGAATGTAAACAGTTTTCCCCTTGACCCTTTTTTCAATACGAAGGTACTTCCTTTTTCTAGTTTGAAATGTTTACTTGTTAATTTGATTGTTATATAAAAACAGCTTGTTTTTTTAGTGGGCTTTATTGTCTCTGGCCCCTAACAACACACATTACAAAAGGGTAGGCCCTGCCTCACACCTGTAGCTCCAGTCCCTGCGCAAAGTAGTTAGCTATGGTCTCCCTGACGAGGTTCCCTTGCTGATTGTGATTCACAAGGGGTGCTGGCTCTGGTTGTTCATAGCGCTGGGAAAGCCTCTCTGCCTCCGCGGCCCACCCAACCCCCAGTTGTTCACCCCTCGTCTCACAGATGTTGTGTAGGACACAACAAGCCATCACCATATTTGGCAGGTAACGTTCTGAGGCATCCAGCCGGACATTGAGGGTTCTCCACCTAGTTTTGAGCCGTTTGAAGGCGCATTCAACAGTCATCAACCGGCAGTTGCTTAGCTGGAAGTTGAAAAGTTCTTTCCTTGGGTCCAGGTGTCCTGTGTATGGCTTCATGAGCCATGGAAGGAGTGGGTAAGCTGGGTCACCAATGATCAGTGGGGGGATGGTCACTCCATTGATTTCAATGCTGGAAGCGCCACGGGCAAATGCTCCCCGCCTCATCAGTGGAACAAGGCTGGAGTTGCGGAAGACCCTGGCATCATGCACCTTGCCGGCACATCCAGTAGTGACGTGTGTGAATCTCCCACGATGGTCCACAACACCCTGCAGCACTATAGAGAAGTAGCCCTTTTTGTTTATGTACTCTGAGCTACGGTGGGGAGGACAGAGGATTGGGATGTGTGTGCCATCAATCGCGCCAATGCAATTTGGGAAACCCATGTAGGCAAAACCATCAATGACCTCCTGGGGGTCGGAGAGTCTGAGGAAGCGTGGGCCCAGCACTTTCTTGATGGCTGCACATACCTCCCGAACAGCAGAGCCAGCGGTGGATTTGCCCACGCCAAACTGGTTGGATACAGATCGGTGGCAATTGGGGTTTGCCAGTTTCCAAATGGCAATGGCCACCCGCTTCTCCACGGTCAGGGGCAGTCGCATATTGGTGGTCCGCCTCCACAGCTCTGGGGTCAACTCCATGCAGATCTCCAAGAATGTGGCCTTTGTCATTCGGAAGTTCTCGAGCCAGTGCCGGTCATCCCACGTCTGCAGTACAACCCTCTCCCACCAGTCCCCGCTTTTCTCCCGTACCCAGAACTGGCGGTAGACGGTCTGGAGGTGGTCCCAAAGCAGGCCATCCTGATTCGTGTCCCGGATGTCCTCATCCTCTGGCAGCTCACAGTCACCAGCCGACAGGAGGCCACATAGCTCCACCCTGTGCCTGGTGAGGGCTTCAACCGCTGTCGCCTCCCGGGAGCAGGTCCGGAAGAACAGCTCGCACAGCTGGGCCGTCAGGCTGGTGAGGGTCACTAGGAGGTGGCGGACACGGCGCTGTGAGGCCAGGAACAGCGCCAGCACCTGGCGGCGCCGCCCATTCAGCGCCTGCACAAGCTCCAGCCGGGACGCGTCCATGGTGGGCGGTATCCTGCTGCCGGCACCGTCAGGGCCAACCAGGCTATAGGTGGTCACTCAGCGAATTACCAGGGGCAGGCCAGGGTCACACCAGGTAGCAGTTGCAGTCTGGGTCTTCAGGTCAAGGCTTGAGGCAGCATCGTGGCTGGGGAGGAAGGCAGGTCAGAGCTAGGAAGTCCAAATAGAGCAAGGGCAGGGACCGAGGCGAGGCTGGGATCAGGCAGGAGCAAACAGGAGCAGGGCTGCAGCGAGGCAGAGGTCCAAGGAGTGCACACGTGAGCGACGGTGCCGAGACAAGTCCCACAGGAAGCAGGAGGCGTCTTACAGCCCTCCTGTCAGGGCCCGGGAGCCTCCGGGTTCCTCCTGGTCACCTGCCTCTTCCTTAATGGCCTCATGGGAGGGACCAGGCTAAGCTGGGGCTGGTGTCTGAGCCACAGAGTGGTGGCGCCCAGGTCTCAGCCTCCATCTGCTGGCCTGGCTGCCCTGGGCCCCAGTCCCTAACGGGTGCCCGTGGCCTAGTTGTCCTGCTGGGCTTGTGGCAGCACGTTGGCAGGCTGGTGGCTCCTAGGGGCTCAGCCCTGCGGGCCAGGCCGCAATGCCCCAGTGAGGCTGGGGAGGGGGGCCCTAGGGGGCCTTGCCCCCCTGTCCTGTCCTGCCCTGCAGGGGTGCAGCCAGGCCCCCCCCCCCGGGCGAGCAGCAGGCGGGGGCGCTGGGGCAGGGGCTGCCCGTGTGCCTACTCCCGGCCCAGGGCAGTTTTACCCCGTAACAAGCTCCCCCGCGCTCTACCCCGCTTCACGGGCTCGTCTGTCCGCAGCACATCAGGTGACTCCTCCAGCCCCCGCCCCTCCCCTCCGTGGCGGGGCCGCTCTAGCCCTCCTCTCGCTGGTGCAGCGACGCTCTACTTCGCTTCCGGCTCTCCGCGGCTCTCCCCAGTGAGGGCGGCTCCCTGCGCTGGGCGGAAGCGCGGCGGCCTCATGGCGGCGGTGGACATCCGAGGTGGGGTCGGGGCCCGGGTGTGGCCGCGGCGGGGGGTGGCCTGGGGAGCGGGGGCTTTATGGCCCCGTGGGACCGGTCACTCAGAGGGGAGGGGGTCTCTGTCCTTGGAGGTGTTTAAGACCCGGGCAGACAAAGCCACGGCCGGGGTGATCTATTTGCGGCTGGTCCTGCTGTGGACAGGGGGGCGGGCCGGTCGGCCCAGCCCAGTGGTTCTCAACCTGTTTTGTACCAGGACCCGTCTGTAAACATGGATGGCCAGTCCCCCTCACTCCCGCCCCGCTGCCCCCAGCCCCCCGGCTGGAGCTCTGCCAGCCTGCAAGGGAAAAGCCGCTCTCCTTCCCTTTAAAGGAGAACCCGCTTTTAAAGCTTGTTCACGACCCGTTCGTACAGTCTTGCGACCCACTTTTGGGTCATGACCCACGGGTTGAGAGAGGCTGGACTAGGTGATCTCCCAAGGTCCCTTCCAGCCCCAATTCTCTATTGATTTTGTGCCTAAAGCCCAGTTCCCTTGGCCTCTCCTCGCAAGTCCTGTTCCCCAGCCCTCAAACCATTTCCATTGCCCTCTGCTGGCCCCTCTCTCCAATTTGTCCACATCCTTTCTGTAGTGGGGGACCCAAAGCCAGACACAGGACTCCAGAGGTAGCCTCCCCAGTGCCAAGTATGTGACACAAGAAGAAGAGATTTTTAAGGCATTCTGGTAGTAGACATGGTCAGGTCTACTGACAGACAGCTCTGAGATTAACACTGCAACGTGAGTTATTTGAAGGAAGAGATCCTAAGTGCCATGCGTTGGCTCACAGAGGATGCCCCTTGTGCAAGTTGCCACTTGGAAGGAAATGGAGTGGGGAGTTGGGGAGATGCAGATGCACAGGTGATTTGAGGAGCATGTTGGTGAGGTTGTGGCAGGACAGAGTAAGAGCTAGTGGCAGCTAAAAATGAGAGGCAAAATTGTGAAGAGCTATGAAGGCTAGGGCCAGAAGTTTGTGTTGAGGCAGTGGAAGAGTAGAGCTAGTGAAATGATGGTTGGGGATGGCAAGGCCTAAAGAGTGGGTCAGAGATAAAAGATCTTTAGCAGTAGTTTCTGTGGATCTGAGTAAGGCAACATGGGTGTTTGGGAAGACAGAGAGGCAAAAGCAGAGAGCCCCAAGGTAGAAGGGTAATTCTGGGAGTAGAGAGAGAAGGTGGAATATTGATAATATTTTGGAAAGAGAAGTAGCAAGACTTGGATAAGTTCTGCAGAGGTGTAGCACTGCACAACAGCTGCAACACAGAAATAGAGGTAACATGGTTGCTGCAACTGTTGCCAGGTGACTGTGGTAGCAGCCACTCCTCTCCCTGCCTCTCTCAGGTTGGTGCCTGCGGTGGCTGCCCCAGCCCTGCTGCCCTCCTTATGCCACGGAAGCTCTGAAAAGTGGGGTTGAGGGACACTGTATAGGTTGTAGAGCTAAGTGACTGGGAGGACTCTGGTACCAGTGATACACGAAGGGAAGGTTTGGGAACGGAGACTGCTTAGGCTGTTCCTCTGCACTTCCACCCCCACCCCCCTGGGCTTTTTTGTGCTCCCTCTTTTTTCCTGGAGGATGGCTGACAAAGTAGGCTATTGCCTATGAAAGCTTATGCATTTCTGAATGAATTCGTCTATAAGGTGCCATCCTGCCTTGCCTCTTGTAGGTTAAGAGATTTTTAAAAAGGAGAAATGTTCACATTTCTTGAAATATGGATATTGTTTTCCCTTTTTTCAGTTCTTAGTCAAGAGAGGCTGACAGCTCTGAGATTGACACTGCAACATGAATTATTTACAGGTGTATTTCTGTTGCATTACTCATGGTTTGCTGTGCACCTGAGTTTACTTTCTTTTAGGTATAGTTAATAATGTGCTCATTATGCATTCAGTCCCCAATTGTGGATAATTTTGCATTCCTTGTGCGTTTGGAGCTTCCACAGAAGTCAAAACATTTTTTAATGGAATGACTGTAGTAGGAGTCCTGGCTGTGCAAATAATGCAGGAGCAGGCCCGTGGTGTTCATCTTACAAGGGGGTTTCAGCCCTGCTCACAGTTTTCAGTGACTTTTCCACCCTGTTCCCTCTGGAAAAATGGATGTCTTATTATTTTATTTCCTTCTTTCCCAGGTCTTGAGAATTTCATTCATTGCCAGTGTAGCTTCAAGTAGTTGGGAACTTCTAGATGCTTTACATTTTGTGTAGCCATGGAAAACTGTACTAAACATTAGCAAATCATCATTTGAATATAGACTCTATTTATGCCACATTTTTTGTCTGGCATTTAACTGGTTGCTTAAGTATGTGGACCACACAATAGCTGCTATGCTTCTGCACTCTACAGTCATTGCCATGTGGTGGGAAAATGCAGGGGTTTCAGCATTTCCATTGTGACATACCTAGGACATTAGTAATTTGTCTTCATAGAGTTCCTTTCACTTAAAGATCTTGCTGTGCTTTGTGTAACCAGTCAAGACTTGGAGTGGTAGATAGATCACTGTTTTACCCACTGGACTGTAGAAGTGCTAAGACCTTGCAGCAAGTCAGGGGCGGAGCCAGGTTTAAAATCTCTTATTCTATAATTGCTGGGAAAGTATACATCAATGTCTGTATTGCGCTAGTAATTATAATAATGTTAAAGGGGAGAGAAGAGTAGGGCACCCTAAATTGCGCTACTGCAAGCAGAATAAGAAGGCTTTTGGAACTGCAGACCTTTGGGAGGCCTTAGCAGGAGACAGGACAAAGTGGCACTCCCTTCTTAATCATGGAGTCCAACATCACGATGAGAAATGGTAACTCACGTTACAACAGAAATGTGACCTGTTGGTACAGTCACCCCTAATGTCATGTACACCTGTGACCAGTGTAGCAGGACCAGCAAGTCTAGCATTGGTCTTCGCGGCCACAAGAGAAGATGCACCACCAGTCAGAAGAATAACTGCAATATCCACCCTCACTCATTGATGAACAGATGTCATATAGATAAATATTAAGGATTCCCATTCTGATTGTATTGCAGTCTTTATTTTGCCATTGGTTTCAATGCGGGCGAGATCTGGTCCTGACTAATTGATTCCTGCAAACTTTCACCTATCATCAGTGACATGATTTCCTCCTGGAATCCACTTTCACAAGATATACTTTAGACCATCTGTTTACATGCATTCAAACAGAGAGAGGTGCTTTGTCCATCTCTTCCACTTAGCAAATGCTACAGCTCATATTTTAATCCATGCATGATGTAACCTGCCAGTACTGTTTTTCTCTACTAACATTCCTAAGAACTAAAGGTATCTGTGTGATTACCATATCTTCATATATTAGCTGAAGATGAAAGAAATAGAAAATATTATGTGGAGTGAAACATTTCTAAATAGGGAAACATTTACAGAATATATTTATGAGGTATGTTAGTAAGAGAGCTGCTTGGAAAAATGCTGACAACTTTTGGGAGAGGGTGGCAGAAGAGGTTGGTCAAAATTCTGAATATAGTGACATACATACATTGTCTTTTGAAAATGTGTGTGTGGAGGGGTGCCAAGTTCTACCGAGTAGGTCCTTTTAGGAATCTGTAATTGTTCTGCCTTTCTTCCCAGATAACCTCCTAGGGATTTCTTGGGTTGACAGTTCCTGGATTCCAATATTAAACAATGGAAGCGTGCTGGACTACTTCTCGGAGCGGAGTAATCCATTCTATGACCGGACATGTAACAATGAAGTAGTCAAAATGCAACGGCTGACATTGGAGCACTTGAAGTAAGCTTCTATAAAGAGTGGTGAAGTGGTGGAGAAGTTGAACTATATTTTCTCTCCATTCTGGTTGAGCTTTGTCCTATATTTTTTGGGTGCTGCTAGTATCCTGGTGAAACTCCTGGGAAACATGGCAGCTAGGTGCAAAGGAGTCTTGGCACATCCATATTGGGAGATGTCAAAAAGTCAGTTTGCTGGAAAGCTATTTTTTTCTCCTAGGAAATAGACAGAAGGATGTCCAGGAACAATGATTTAGCTGAATTTTCAACTGGATGTTATATTTTTGTAAGATAAGTAGAATCTAAGTTAGATACTTCAAGCTTGTCTATAGAAATATAAATAAGTAAGTATATACTATCTATCACTTAACGTGGTAGTTCCCACTAACCTGAATTAGGCATCATTATTAGAACAGCTCTCCCCCATGGCTGCTATAACTTTTTTTAAATTTAGGCCACAAAGGAGATGAGTTGCGTAGGCAACTAGTCACAAGTGGCTATTTATCAACGTTGTGCAATTTGCTTTCTTTAGGAGAGAGCCCAGGCAGAAGTGACTGATATGAAGTTGCAGGCACAAGTGAAGTGCATTAACCACTGTTTGTGGACCGAAGAATGGAACAGCAGGGATCACGTAGATTAGGCAAGATGCTCATTGGCAAAGTGATGTTCATTTGCTGTGATTGGGAAGGAGCTTTTGTGTACCGCCTTGCACACATTCTGGTCAGTACCATTGGTCCTTGGCTCCCAAATTTAAGCATCAGCTGTAGCTAGCTATAGTTTCCATTTGTTTATTCTTCTGTTAACCAGTTTGCCAAGAGATTGAGCTCAGGATTTCTTAACATTGTTTGAGCCCAAAGCTAGGTTTTGATGTTTAGCCTGGAAAGAGCTAATGGCATGAAAGATCTCATAGCCCATCACAGTTTCCAGGCCTTGTAACATCTCAGTGAGTTTTCACATCCTATATATTCACTCTCAGATGACTAAAGATATTTATTCTGGTCACTTGCCTTTCAGTCAAATGATTGGAGTGGAGTATATCCTCCTTCATGCTCAAGAGCCCATTCTCTTCATTATTCGAAAGCAGCAAA